CCCCAAAGGCCGACCTGAAGGAGGCACAGCCCAGCGTCGGAAGTCTGGGGTTGGTGAGGCTTCGGGCTGTGCACAGCCAGCCCCCCCAGTTGTAAAGGGCCACATGCGAACCCTACCCCTACCCCCTGCGATTTCTGAGGGGGAGGGTGGGGTCCACTTTGTTCGGGAGCTCAATAGTTAGTCCCAGCTGGCCTCAACAGGCCCCCCGAATAACCCCGGCTGGCCTCCACGGGCCCCTCGAGTGGCCCAGGGCAGAACACCCCAACCTGGGGGCGCGGAGCGTCCCAGGGGCTCCGCCAGGGTGTCGAGACCGCCCCAAGCTGATCATACCCGGCGGGCAGCCTCTGCAGGCCAGCTGGGACTACCTGGGGGGGGGGGCTGGCTGCGCGCAGTCCAAAGCCTCACCAGCCGGAAGCCTGGGGTGTCCGCCCGACCCACGGGCACCCCAGGCGGGGGGTCCCCAGCCGAGCTGGCCATGGCCGCCCTGGGCGTCCGCGTGGCCAGCATCCAAGGACCGAAGGCGCCCAGGCGCCCAGCCTTCGCCTCCACCGCCTTCTCCTCCTTTTCCTCCTCCTCCTCCTCCTCCTCCTCCTCCTCCTCCTCCTCCCCCTCCTCCTCCTCTGCCTCCTCTTCATCCTCTGCCTCCTGTTCCTGCTTCTTCACCTCCTCCTCCTCCTCCTCCTCCTCCTCCTCCTCGTCGTCGTCCTCCTCCCCTTCCTCCTCCTCCTCTCATCTCTTCCCTCTCCTCTCTTTTTTCTCCTCCTCCTCCTCTTTCTCCTCTTCTCTCCTCCTCTTTTCTGTCCTCCTCTTTTCTGTCTCCTTTTCTTTCTCCTCTCCTCTTCTGTTCCTTACCTCCTCCTCCTCCTCCTCCTCCTCCTCTCACCTCCTCCGGCAAGTCCTCCTACTTCCTCTTCTCGCATCGGCCTCAACCGTTCTTTGGGAACTCCACCCCCCCCCCCCCCCGCCCAAAATATGTTTGGGCAAAAGTGGGCACCAATGCCTTTCAAAATTGTTTGTCCAAAAAACCTAAAACCGCAGCGGCCGCTGTTGGGGCAGGCGGCCTCCTGTCTCAAGTGGACACAGGCCGCGGCGGCGCGGACAGCGAACCCTGTTCAAAATGAACAAAAACTGCTGTTGGCCATTGTGCCCATTTTTTCTGTACCCACTTCGTGCGCGCGGAGTTCCCAGTCCACCACCGCGCACGCGCTAACCCCGTTGCGCGGGGCCCGGCCGACGCGCGAGCGGGGCCCCCTGGACGCCAATGGGAGACCTTATCCAGAGAGCGGGAGGAAGAGGTGGAGGAGGAGGAGGGGGAGGCCACCCTGCCATCCTAATCATCCTGAGGCCCAGGGAGGAAGAGAAGGAGGTGGAGGGGAGGGCTGGGCCGCTCAAGCGATGTAGAAGCTCAGCGCTGAATTCGCAGAGACGTAGTACCTCATGTGTACCGATGTACTTGTATACCCTTGGTCGTAGCGCTGTAACGCGTAATCTTCTCCAGCTTTAGGCCAGCCCGTCTCGCCGTGACTACTTCGGCCCGCGGAGTGCCGCGCGCTGGAGTTGGCACGCAGTGCCAGTCAGCCAGCGGGCTCTAGTGGACGTCTCGCCCAGCATCTCCACGACGCAATCGTACTGCGTCACTGATGGTGATCGGCTGTCTGGTAGTCAAAATCTCCCGTGGGCCTTGGTGTTCGTCACGTGGACCTCGTAGTACAGAGACTGGCCCTGGTAGCTCTGCTGGTGGTCCCCGTAGCCCTGCAGGTGGCCCCCGTAGCTCAGCGCGTGAGGTTCGCCGCTCAGCTGGTGGCCCTGGCAGCTCTGCTGGCAGGTCTTGCAGAACAGCAGGTGGTCCTGGCAGGACTTCTTCTAAGTCTCGTAGCTCTGCTTGCGGCCCTCGCAGCACAGCTTGTAGCTCCGCTGGTTAGCAGTTCGGTTCAGCTCGTTGCCCTGGTAGTTCAGCAGGAGGCTCTCGCTGAGGTGGCTCACGAAGTTCTGCCCCAGGTCCTGTTAGTTCAGCTTGTCGCTCTGGTAGCTCTGCTCTACGTCTTTCGTTTTGTGGCCCTCGTGGCTGAACTCGTGGCCTTCGCAACTCAAGTGGCCCAATTGGTTGCCCACGTAGCTCAGCCGGTTGCCCTCGTAGCTATGGCTGAGGCCCTGCTTCTTCTCCGTCGTCTCTGGTCTTCCCTCTCACGCGCGGGAGCGCGGACGGGAGCGACGAAGGATGAAGGTGGGAGGAGGAGGAGGAGGAAGAAGAGGGAAGAGGAAGAGGATGGGCAAGTGGAGGACAAAGAGGGCAAAGAGAAGGGATGATATGGACGGGGGAAGAGGAGGAGGTGGTGGAGGAGGAGGAGGAGGAGGAGGAGGACCAGTGCAAACCCAAGAGCCATGAACGATATTGGAATACACCCTCCCTCCAAGCTCCCTCTTCACAGGCCCCTACAACGGTTCATTTCCATTGGGGGAACTGCCTCGTTGGAAGACAACCATTTGAAGACCCTGAAGCATGCCAAAACAAGTTGCTCGGGATTCCAACGCCACGGATCAACCTGACTGTTGCGCCTTGACGATTCTGGATCGTGCCAGAACGCTGTTCTTGGGATTTCAACACCGCGAACCAACGTAATTGTTGCACCCGCAGAATCCGGAATCCTTCCACAACCCAAACTGGTACGCTGATCATGTGAACCAGTGAAACTCTTGCAATGGTTTACACCGAATGTGCGCGGCGCTACGGCGAGAACCTCATTTTGAAAACCAGCCGCCTTCAATCCGTGGAACTTTTGCAAATTTTGAAGACGAATGTGCGCGGCGCTAAAGCGAGAACCACATTTTGAAAGCGACCCGCCGTCAATCAGTGGAACTCTTGCAAAAATTGAAAACGTTTGCGCGCGGCGCTAAAGCCAGAACCACATTTTGAAAACCAACCGCCCTCAATCCGTGGAACTTTTGCAAATTTTGAAAGCGAATATGCGCGGCGCTAAATCAATAGCCGCATTTTGAAAACGAACCGCCGTCAATCCGTGGAACTCGTGCAAACGTTTACAACGAATGTGCGCGGCGCTAAGGCGAGAGACACATTTTGAAAACCAACCGCCCTCAATCCATGGAACCCTTGCGACTTTTAAGAACGAATGCGCGCGGCGCTAAGGCCAGAGCCACATTAAAAAAAACACCCGCCCTCCATCTGTGAAGCTGTTACCCATTCTTAACATTCAGAATCATGAATGGTGAGGGGGTCTCAGGCGAAACGCCCGGCCCGCCCTAAACACTGGCCTCGGGGTGCGACAGGGAGAAGCGATTTAGAAGGAAAAGGAATGGAAGAAGAGGAGGAGGATGAGGAGGGAGAAGGAGGAGGAGGAGGAGGAGGAGGATGAGGAGAAGAAGAAGAAGAAAGACGAGGAAGACGATGAAGAAGACGAAGGCGAGGAGAAGGGGGGATGAGGATGGGGATGAGGAGGAGGAGGGGGCGGATGCGGGGGAAAAGGAGCCAGAGGAGGAGGAAGAGGAGGAGAAGGAGGAGGAGGAGGAGGTGGAAAGGGATGGGTCCAATGAAGATAAGCCAGAGCGTGAGGAGCCCAAAGAAAAAGGAGGATGCGCCGGACGAGGCAGAGGAGGAGGAGAATGATGATGATGAGGAGGAGGCAGAATAATGAGAAACAGTGGACAACGAGCTCAAAGAGGAGGCGGATGAACGCGAGGAGGGAGGGGATACTAGAAAGGACAATTCGGAAGAAGGGAGAAAGCAGGGGAAGATGATGACTTTCTGCCCTGGGTGCCCTGACAACTGGCGACGCGCCTGCGCGGGGCTAGCGCTGGAACGCGGAGAATAATGGCGAGGATGCCGAGCATCGCTCACGATTTGTACATTGTGGGCTGGGCGCGCCTGCGTTTTGCGCGGCCAAACTACCTGCCCACCCCAATGGTGGGAGCAGGAGGAGGAGGAGGAGGAGGAGGAGGAGGAGGAAAGGATGATGTCTACGCTTGTTGCTCCGAGGGAGGAGGCTGATTAGGAGGGGGAAGAAGAGATCTGATGGCTTTGTGCAACAACTCGGGCCTCTGGAAGCCGATCGGGACCAATCGTGCACCGAGGGGGCGACCTCGACGAAGCGCAGCTGCTCAAGGCACCCCCGAAGCGAGGACACCCACAAGAACCGAGCAAGGAGGAGGAGGAGGAGGAGGAGGAGGAGGAGGAGGAGGAGGAGGAGGAGGAGGAGGAGGAGGAGAGGGAGAGGGAGAGGGAGAGAGGAAGAGAGAGCGGGAGAGGAGGAAAGGGAGGAGGAGGAGTAGGAAGAGGAGGAGGAGCAGGAGGAGGAGGAGGAGGAGGAGGAGGAGGAGGAAAGACACATCGCGAAACAGGCCAACAAAGACATCGTGAGAAACCATGGCCAGAGCCCCAGACGCCCTCCCTCTGTGCGGCACTCCTTGACCCGCGAATGCCCCGTGTGGCATCGAGACTGCACGAAGCAACGCCCGGTGCACGACATGTTGGGGCACCCGGATCTCCGGGGAGGGAGGGCGCCGACATGAGAAGATGTTACACCAGCGTTCGGCGGAGGAGGCGGAGGAGGGAGGGAGGAGGCGCAGCTGCTGGAAGGCACCCTGGAGTGAGACACAGCGGCGGAACCGAGAAACAGGGAGGATGAGGAGGAGGGGGGAGGAGGAGGGGGAGCAAGACGGAGGGAAGAAGGGCGGGAAGGGCGGGAGGGCACGAAGGGCTGGAGAAGAAAGACGAGGAGGATGAGGAGGAGAACGAGGAGGAGAGGAAGCGGTAGGAGGAGCGAGGAGGAGAGAGGAGGAGGAGTAGGGAGGAGGAGACGGAGGAGGAGGGGAGGAGGAGAAGAAGGTAGGAGGGAGAGTCGAGGAGGAGGAGGAGGAGGAGGAGGAGAGCGTACTAGTACACGAGAGGTTCAGGGAGAAGCAGGAGAAGGAGAGGGAGGAGGAGGAGGAGGAGGAGGAGGAAGAGGAAGAGGAAGAGGAGGAGCGACGCTGCCTCGGGCCAATTTGTCATCTCATGACCGCCCGAGCCGCAAGCTGCCGTCGAGCCGTCTGTCTGATCCGGGTCTGGGCGAGGCGTGTGAACACGATGGGGCCGCCCCTATCGAGCCCATTGCACGTGGGGAAGACAGGGCACATGGTATCACACAGACAGGCGGTTGAAACTAACCGATCAGCAGAGAGCGTGCCGAGGCAGAAAACCCCGAGGCGAGCGACAGCAGGGGCGGAGGCGAACGACGGAGGAAGATGTGGAAAACGAGCCAGAATCAAGCCAAGACACGGGCATATCCAATAGCGAAGGATGCCATCGCCAACGGCAACCAATCGGCACCAACGGCATGACCTGGCAACACCCCTGAAACGTAGGGTGGTGCACCAACTGTTCGTGATGCCTTGAAGGGCCAGTGCGGTGAGAGAGCTGGGAAGCAGGATACGCAGGCGACTGAATTTCATGATCCCTGGATCGAGCAAGGCGGCCGAGGGGGCAGGATGAACATCCTGACGACGTCTGGAAGGCTCCTGACGGGCCACCAGTCTAAACCTACTTTGCAGGAAGCGTTCAAAACGACTCTGCAGAGTGGGGCTCAGGATAGGAATCTTAGGAGCGACACTCAGAACTTGATACGTTCGACGGGCTTGATGAATGCAACTAGTCTACCACCACTTTCCCGAGGGGGGGCATGATAAGCGCTTCGTCGCTAGCACCAGCTCCGTCTAGGTGGGTGCACAGCTCGAACAAAGCCTCGCAATAGACGGCTCATATGTACTGAGCAGCCTGCGCCATGCACACAAGCCGCCCGGCTTGCAGAGTAGTCCTAGGCCCTTGAGATCCTCCACGAGGTTACAGGGAATTGAGCTCCGTGGGGCCATGACAAAAGACTGGAAAAATTCCCCTTCAGTGCGCTAAACCTCGGCGTCATGGGAGGAGAAGGCTGATGATGCTGATGATGATGATGATGTTGACGTTGATGCTTATGATGATGATGATGATGATGATGATGATGATGATGATGATGATGATGATGATGATGATGATGATGATGATGATGATGACGGTACTGATGATGATGCTGATGTTGATGATGTTGATGATGATGGTTACGATGATGTGGTGGTGATTACGATGCATATGCTGCTGGTTACGCTGTATGATGATGATGATGATGATGATGATGATGATGATGATGATGATGATGATGCGGATGGTGATAGTGACGATGCTGCGTATATGGTGATGGTGATGGTGTTGATGTTGTTGATGTTGGTTACGATGATGGTGGTGGTGAATATGATGTTGATGCTGCTGGTTATGCTGTACGATGATGATGCGGATGGTGATGGTGACGATGCTGATTATATGATGATGATGCTGATGATGATGATGATGCTGATTGTGATGATGATGCTGATGCTGATGCTGATGATGATGATGGTGGTGATGAATATGATGACTATGATGATGATGATGATGATGATGATGAGGAGGAGGAGGAGGAGGATGATGATGGTGTTGCTGTTGTTGACGATGACGCTGCTGATGATGATGCTGATGCTGATGATGATGAGAAGAAGGAGACGAAGGAAGAGAAGGAGTAGGAGGAAGAAGAGGGGAGGGAGGAGGGGCGAGAGAGCGAGCTACCATTGCGGAGCATCCTCTGGGCCTGCCGAAGGCCAGGCGGGAGAGAGGGGGGGGACGGAGGGAGGGAGGGAGGGAGGGAGGAAGGGAAGAAGGGATGGAGGCAAGGCAAAGCAAGGCAAGGCGCCGATGTTCGCCCCGGAAAGGGGGGGGGCATCTGAGAGCTCGGCAGGGGCGCCGGAGCGCCGAAACTCAGATGTCGTAGTACACGATTGTTTCCGAATCCGAAATTCGAATCATTGGTTCCATTGAATCTTTCCTTCCCATCAGTTTGTTAATGTTAATGGAACGTTACGCAAAGAAGAGGCGCATCTGCCTCACGTGCGTCTGTGCGATACTACCCATCACCTCGGCCACGGTTTGTGCAATCATACACTAGTTCCGAAAACTCGCCTGTTTTGCTCGACGGGTCTCCAGTCCCGCTGTGAAATTTGCTGCGTACTCTCCGCCAAAGACAAAAACGATGCATGAAATCATAGCGCTGCTTCACTTCATCCCTGAATCAGTTCGTGTGGCTTGGATTTGGAAATGTCGATTTGCAATCCACAATTTGGTTGCCAAATGTTTCCAACACCGGATATATGTAACTTGTTTCGTCATTAGCATCGATGAACAACCCGATCGGTGTTTGAATACTCGCTAAAAGACCGTCGATTGTGGCCTTCGCTTCCTTGGTCGTTCCATCTTTGCTAGAAACGCGACTCGCCTCGCAGGAATGGGCGTCATCGCGGTTCAGTTCGTCACGGCTGACATTGTCACAAGCGTTTGGCATGCGTCCTAAATGCTCCACGACCTTTTCCACAAATGCAACCTTGGGGACTTCGACTAATTTCTATACGTATTCAAACTTGGGCACCTCAACATACCAAGCTGTCCCTTGTATTGCTACGACCGGATCCAATGGGACATGGTGCTGAAAGTATTGATTGGACTGCACTTTGTACGCTAAGTGTGGGACTCGATTTCACCTAGCCAGCGAAGTATATCCAACTGATCATTCGATATCGCGTCGATTTTCTCGATGATCACTTCTGCGAGCTTTCTGATTTCCTTTCTCGGGTCCGGTCTGTCTTGCCATTGCCTCTCCAAACAAGGGTTTTTACTGCTCAACGTTTCATTCCATTGCTTTTGGGACCATGTCATGACGCAGAGTCGACGAATCAAGGGGGTACTTGCAGACTGATTGGGGCTTCAGCCTCACTTGAACCAACTTGAGCCAAGGGAGGGAGGGAGGAAGGGAGGGAGGGAGAGAAGGGAGGGAGGGAGGGGAAGGGAAGGGAGGGAGGAAGGGAGGGAGGGAGGGAGGGGAAAGGAAGGGAGGGAGGAAGGGATGGAGAGAGGGCGGGAGGGGAGGGAAGGAGGGAGGGAAGGGATGGAAGGGAGGGAGGGAGGGGAAGGAAAGGAGGAAGGGAAGGGAGGGAGGGAGGGAGGGAGGGAGGAGAGGGGGGGAGGGAAGGGAGGGCAGGAGGCCGTGCGGCGGCCACGCCGCCACCTGGCGCGGTGCCGTCCGCGCGGCCGGCCAACGTGCCACTGCAGATTTCTGTGTATTTGCCCGCGGGCCGTCACGCTGCGGCTGGCGCGGTGGCGCCGTCGTCCTCTCGGGCGCTGCTGGACGCTGGAAGTGCACCTCCCCAAAGACCCGACGCTCCAACAAACATTGGAGCGGGCAGCGCCGGGCCTCGGGACCGTAAAAAAACGACTCAGGACGAAAAACTGGCCCTGGGGAAGTGGTCCAGACCTCCGGGGCCCACGCATCGAACAAAATGGGAGCAGCCGGATGCCTGGGCCTGGCCCAAGGTGCCCCTGGCCCTAGGACGGGGGTCAATGCAGACGGGGATCAGCAGGAGCGCCAGACCTCACGAGTCCCACAGGGCACCAGGATGAAAAAGTTCAGGGTTCGCTTCAAAGCAGCCGAAACCCTCCCGAAACCATTCGAAAACCCTGCACGAGGGTTTCTGGGAAGCTTACCGGAGGGCTTCGGGAAAGTTTTGGAAGGGCTGTCCTCGTTCTGGGGGGAAACCAGTCCCTAGCGAACCCGGGGCCCTCCAACAGCAGGAGCGCCAAGATGGAGCAAAAAGCTGGGGGCACCTTGGGGCAGGGCAACCTTCATAGAAGCAGAAAAAACGACATCAACATAAACTCTAGGCGCTCCGCGCGGATTTCTTGGATCTGCGCTGGACCCCCTTCCCTGGCGCGCGGAGCGCGCCAGGGGCGGGCGCCAGGGGCGGCGTCGCCAGGGGTGCCCAGCGCGGATCCAAGAAATCCGCGCGGAGCGCCTAACGTTTCTGTTGATGGCGCTTCCACTTCTTCGGCTTCAGCAGCCCCCGATCCTCTGCCCGGCGCGCGCCGCGCCGGACGCCGCTGGCGGCCTCGGGAGCCACAGGTGTGCACAAACGTAAGCTTTCGGAGGTCCGCCGCGGCCTCCTCGGGCTCGGCGCCGGGCCCGCCCCGGCGGTGCCGCCCCCGGGCGCGCTCCGCGCGCCCAACGCCGATCCCAAGAACGCCGCGCGGACAGTTCATGTTTGTGCAGTCGTTGTTTCCGTCGGGGCCTGGAGGAGCTCCAGGACGAGGGGGTGGCCCTGCGTCACCTCGGGGGAGGGGAAGGAGGGAGGGAGGGAGGTGGTCGGGAGGAGGGGAGGGAGACAAGCCAGGTGCGCTCGCGCCATGTCTGACATTTTACCCCTCCCGCCCCCCTTCTCGTTCCGCCGACGGGCGTCACAGCGGGCCTGGAACCATCCAGAGGACACCACCGTGCGATGCGCGATCAGAGGAGGGGAACTGTAGGGTTAGGTCGGGCATGTCCCCCTACCGGCGGATTTGGGGCAAACAATTAAACATATGTGCAAAGAAAATGATCGAATGATGCTCAAACATAGTCACACATTCGTCCCCGCACGATTTTTTACTATTTTTGAATATCCCTCCTGAAGAGGGACATGCCCGCCTTAACTGTAGGGGGAGGAGGTGCTGGCGAAGGAGGTGATGGCGAAGCAGGGGGAAGGAAGCATTCTGGGTCTGTGCCCTGGGGGCTTTGTCGGGCCGTGCAGGCGGCCTTGGTGGCCCTCCTGGGTATTACCTAGGGCTCTCCAGGGAGCCTCCTCCTTGTCGTGATCAGGAGGAGGAGGAGGGGGAGGAGGAGGAGGAGGAGGAGGAGGAGGAGGAGAAGGAGGAGGAGGAGGAGGAGAAGGAGGAGGAGGAGGGGGAGGGGGAGGAGGACAAGCTAGGTGCGCTCGCGTCATATCTGGCATCCTACCCCTCCCTCCCATCCCTTACCATGGCGTAGATCCCCTCCCTATTCGCACAGTCGGATGTCGAGCAGGGCAATGATCCCGAAAGGGTACGCGATGCATTGTAGAGCACGGTATGGCATGGCGTAGAAGAGCACCGCAAAGCGTAGCATCAACCTAGCATTGCATTGCATGCAGTGACATGGCACGGGACATGACGCCAGCGCTGCAGCGGGAGCACGAGTCGAAACGAGCGGAAGCGCGGAAATGAGGCCAACGCTGCAGCGGGAACACCATTCGGAACGAGCGGAAGCACGGAAATGAGGCCAGCGCTGCAGCGGGAGCACGATTCGGAACGAGCGGGGCCCGAAAATGAGGCCGGCACCTCAGCGAGAGCAGTAGTTTGAAAAAATTCAGGCGAAAACCCAACTCCGGAGAAACCTGTGTAAAAACGATACGTCCCCACACGATTTTCTACTATCCGCACGATTTTTGTGCCCTGGGGGAAGGAAGCATTCTGGGTCTGTGTCTGTGGGCTTTGTCGGGCCGTGCAGGCGGCCTTGGTGGCCCTCCTGGGTATTACCTAGGGCTCTCCAGGGAGCCTCCTCCTTGTCGTGATCAGGAGGAGGAGGAGGAGGAGGAGGAGGAGGAGGAGGAGAAGGAGGAGGAGGAGGAGGAGAAGGAGGAGGAGGAGGAGGAGGAGGGGGGGGAGAAGGAGGAGGAGGAGGAGGAGGTAGAGGAGAAGAAGGAGGATGAGGAGGAGGAGGGGGAGGAGGAGGAGGAGGAGGAGGAGGAGGAGGAGGAGGAGGAGGATGAGGAGGAGGAGGAGGAGGGGGTGGTGCGGTGCATGCAACAGATTTGGGAGGCCTGGAAATGGGCACCAACACCAACACGGGGGGCTGCCTCCACTGGGGCCATTGCGCCTCATCAGAAAGCAGGGCGGCCATTTGCGAACAAGTGAAGCGGAAGCAGCGGCTGCAGAGCAGAGCGGACATCGACGTCAAACGAGCTTGAAAAGTGGAGCGGACATTTTCGCCCTGCTTGCGAAACCGCCCAAAGTGCGGCGGATCCAACGTCAGGGGGGGCATAGACTTTCGGAGGCTGGAGGCTTGGAAATGAACACTAACACCAAACCAAGGGGTTGCCTCCACTGGGGCAAGACGATCCTAGATTTTGGCGTTGGTGGCAATCTTTCGGCCACTTAGAGAAGCCCGAATAGAATATGACCATCATCACCGAGATAGGAGGCATCTTCCTCGGTGACGGCGCACCGCCGATCTTGGTGTTTGGTCAACCTCTAGGCCTCTGAACATGGGGTGACGGGAGAAGGAAGGAGGTAGGACGTGGTTTGATATGGTTCGGCCGAGGACTCCCGCCACTGGTCTGAGCAATGCGAGCTTGCTGGTTCCCTGCAGGCATCATCCTACACAGGAGCCCCTGCTTGGCGATCGCGCGCGCGGCCCAAACGGCATCACAAAACCCCAATATGTGAGAGACATGAAGCAAAACACCCGCAAAAAGCGCGGCACACAGACGACAATCAAATGCTAAAGCCAACGCGCAATACATCAATCTGGAAGAACTACATGCGAAGACGCACAACACAGCGCGGCTAGCCGGGCACAACGTGTGTACATGATGTCCGGTGGGAGGGGGGAGGTTCTGGCCGATTGCCTAGCCTTGTCGCTGTGGACAGTCCCACGTATGCCCGCGCGCACCAATACTGCGTACCCCTTTTCCCCCCTTCGGATCTGCGCAACCGACAAGGTCGGGTTATCGCCAGACCTAAAACAACAGTCTCTGATCTTGCCATCGCTCGGACGCCCATTCCTCGTGCATGCTTCGGCTTCGTGCGCTTATTTTTTCGGGAGATGACGCAGGATGCTCCTCTATGGTCCCAGCCAAGAAAACATGCACACGTCCGAGCGATGCCAAGTTATCGACCACGAAACACCGCCGACGCCCGCGAAGCCGATCTGCGCACCCCCCCCCTCCCCGGGTCGCCAGCTCCTGCAGCCCGGAGTTGTGGCGGGCCGCGATCTCGCCCCAGTTCTGCTCCAGGAAGTCCCAGCACGCGGCCTCCAGGCTCTCCACGCGCAGAAGAACCAACGAAACATCGGATCTGCCCTGACTCGAGGTCAGCCGTACTTTGGCGGACGCTAGGACTCCAAACTGCGTTGGAAAGTGCACCCCGAACGATGTGAACAAGTAGGGCTGGAGATTCCGCCTCATCAGCAAGCAGGGCGGCCATTTGCGAACACGTATGGCGGAAGCAGCGACTGCAAAGCGGAGCGGACATCGACGTCAAACGAGCTTGAAGAGTGGAGCGGGCATTCTCGCCCTGCTTGCGAAACCGCCCAAAGTGCGGCGGATCCAACGTCAGGGTGGGCATAGACTTTCTGATGGGCCTGTTTTCCACCACCACCACCATCAGTTGGAGGGGCAAGGAGGAAGAGGACGAAGACGAGAAGGAGGAGGAGGAGGTGGAGGAGGAGGCGGAGGAGGAGGAGGTGGAGGACCCCCTCCCCCTCCAACTTCTGGTGGTGGTGGAAAACAGGCCCGTCACTTCCGGAGGGCCCCGCGCGGACCTCCTCGATCGGCGCCGGGACCACCCTGAGACCTGGGCGCCGCAGCTTTTGCCACACCGGGTGTCTTCGTCCGGCGTCGGAGCCATCACAGACCGATCCGGCTCGGAAGATGCAGCAGAAATCGGGAGCGCCAACGACCTGGGTCAGCCCGAACTTGAGCAGGGACCGACCGCCCCGGCATTCCTCTATTAGGCCTACCACGAGACGTTCTTAGAGCCCAGAAATGTCTAAGAACAAAACCAGTGTTCTCAGAACAGAAGCCCGACGTGTTGAAACGAGACAATCTCAGCCAGAAATGTTCTAAGAACATCTCGTGCAGACCCCCAAAAGGTTCTCAGAACATTGTTTGGTAACCCCTATAGGCACGCCGGGACGCTTCGCCACTGCTTGAAACCCGGGTCGGCCAGGGCCCTCCGGCAAAGCCCGGACCAGCGGAGGGCGAAAGCGGGGAATCGGCCCCGCGTGGCTCCCACACCCAGGTCAGCCAGAGGGGAGTGGCTGACCACGTTAGCGTTGGGCTGGGCATGTCCCCCTACAGGCGGATGTTGGACGAAAAATTTGAAAAACATACCCCAATAATGCTCAACTAATGCCCCAAAGTACTGAAAACATCGTCCCTGGACTATTTGTTGACTATTTTTGAATGTTCCCCCTATAAAGGGACAAGCCCGACTTAACCCCAGTTAGTGAGCGTTTTCTTCTTCGGAATTTCGACGTTCCGCGGAATGGGGAGGGGGTCTGGCTCTGGACCTCTGCTCACTGCAGCTGTTTGCAACAGTGCGTCCCATGGGGGAGGGACTCCAACTGCCTGAAACAGGCGCCAGAAACAGCCAAGATCCACTCCATGGGTGGTGGAAGGGGGGGGTGCGAGGGCCCGCGCCGATCGGTAAAACAACGGATCAAAAAACAACCGCTTCTTAGACCAAGGATGGGATCCGGGGCTCTGGTTGTGATGCCTCGCTCTGCTGCAACTTTTTTTCGTGGCGTCGGATCTCAAGAGGGACCCCACGCGAATCTCTTGGATCGGCTCTGGGCCCCACTTCCATGGCACGCGGAGCGCGCCAGGGGTGGCGCCGGAGGCACCACAAGGGTGGAGCAGGGGGAGGAGGAAAAGGAGAAAGGGAGGAGGAGGAGGGGGAGGAGGAAGGCGGAGGAGGAGGAGGAGGGAGGAGGGAGGAGGGAGGAGGGAGGTCCAGCGCCGATCCATGAACAGGACGGGAATGATGTCATGGTGCGGTTGACTCAGGATGCGTTCGGAATGCGTGCGGAAACAAAATAGGAAGCCCTTGGCAGACATCTTGAAAGACTTGGAGCGTATCGTCATGACTTCGCCGCCTGACTTCGGAGCCGCCGCACTTTGGGCAATCTCGCAAGTGGGGCCGAACTTTCCGCCCTAGTTGTAAAACTCCTTGGATGTCAACGCCCACCCTGCTTTGCCGTCGCGGCTTCCGTCAGCCTTTTGCGCAAATCGCGGACCTGCTTTGCTGAGGTGGGAACTTTCGTCCTGCTTCTTCACATCACCTGGGGTGCGCAGCCGGCGAAGGCGCGCGGCGGAACCGAAGCCAGAGCGAGCGGACGTCCGAGAAAGTCTGTGCCTATGCCGACTTTTCTTCTTCCCATGCACGCGCGCCGCAGCGAGGCGACGCTCGCGAGGATGGGCACGACGATGGCGGGCCGGAGGGCGAAGTCGGACAAGAACACCTCGCAGAGCCTCCCCAGCCGCGGGAGGCAGAACCTCCGAGGGAGAGGCAGAGCGACGACCACGACGAAGACCTTCACGCAGCAACGCTGCTGGTGAGCGTTCTCTTATTCGACGTTTCGACGTTGGGCGGATGGGGGGGGGGGCGGGGGGGGGGGGCTCCGGACCTCTGCTTAGTGCGACTGTTTGCAGCAGTGCGTCCTATGGGGGAGGGGTTCCACCTGCTCGAATCAGGTGCCCAAAACAGCCGAGATCCACTCCATGGGGGGTAGGAGGGGGGGGGGTCTGAGGGCCCGCGCCGATCGGCAAAACACGGAATCAAAAAAACGGTCACTTTGGCCATCGTCCGCTGCGGTCGTCGTCAACTCGTGGAAGATCCTCGCGAGTCGGCGGCGGCCGGCATGGACCATGACCAGGGATCGGCCGCGACGACAGAGAGGGCAAAAAACGGCATGAGCATGAACTGCCAGAGGTCTGCGCAAATCTCTTGGATCGGCGCTGGGCGCCACTCGCCGGAGGCGCCGCCAGCTGAGCCCAGCGCCGATCCGAGGAATCCGCGCGGAGCTCCGAAAGTTTACCTGCGTGTATGCAGTTGTTCCTCATGCTGCTGACCAAGACCGGCGTCGACAAGATTCCACGACATCCTGGTTCACTGAAAACAGAAGAACCCGTAACCCTAATAATACGACGAAGACCCTCACAGAGGTCCGTCTTCACAGTAGGGATCATAGATCTGGGCGGTCTGGCCTGGCACATCTGCAGAACATACCCCTTATCCCTAGTGTTTCTGGCCCTCCTAACTTCGGCCCCCTCCCAAAAGGTTAGGGGTCATGATTTGATCAATCGCTGGTTTCGGTCGCCGTGCTTCCTCCCCCCGAGACCTGTCGGCCAGCGAGTGCACCTCCAGAGTCAACCTCGCCAGCCGCAGCGCCTCCGCGTCGCTCATGTCGAGCACCCGGGAGGGCGGCGAGACGGGGTCGAAGTGGTCCTCTCGAGAGCCTCTCACAACGCGCGTCTCGACGGCGGCCCCGGCGACACTCGAAGAACAGCACAATGACATAAAAACCTTGTCCGTCGGCGGCGACGCAAAGGTTATCCGCAACAGCGTGGGGCTGACCGGGGCAACCGACAGGCAAAGTGTCCGGCGCGCAAGAGAGGAAGGCCAAGAACGAGTAAGTGCACAAACACAGAACTTTCGGAGGTCCGCGCGGATTTGCACGCGGAGCGCGCCAGGGGCGGCGCCAGAGGCGCCGCCAAGGGGGGCCCAGCGCAAATCCAAGAAATCCGCGCGGACCTCAAACAATTTAGGCTTATACCGTGAATTCTTCTTCCCGGCACGCTACTCTCCATGCCCTGCGGGCGGGTAGCGTGTCGCCCCGCCCCGCGGGGCGAGAGGCTGGGAAAGGCTCGGGACGAAATTAGGCACCCGAGAACTGGGACGTGGTCGGCGTGAAGCGCCGAAGCGTGGCGGGCCAGAACCTGCGGCAAGGTACGCGCCAGGCAGAAGATCCCGACCGCGGACAAGCAAGAGACGGGGCACACGCCAGTCGGAAGACATGGGTAGGGAGATGAAACCAGGAAGCGTTGGAAGCAGGTTGGGCTTCTGCCCCCTCCCTGCAGAGGACGGAAGAGGGAAAGCCACTCGACTCTTGACGTAGGATGGCGGCTAATATGTATTGGGATCTGGGACTCCAAAATCGACTGCACGTAACAGTGACCCTGGGTAAGAGTGACCTTCGGTGCGCGGCTTATCGGGGGACGCGGGGTGGCCAAACACAGGCGCGCAAGCCGCTGCTGCCGCTTCGCGCTCAGCGATCGGGGGAGCCCTTCGGGCCCGCTCCAAAGGTCACTCCGGCGAAAGGTCACTCTTACGCGCAGTCGACAAAGGTACCCTACTTTCAACGACCGGCGTGTAATAGGGGGCAAACAAACCTACCTCGCTCTTGACCACCCTCGCTTCCAAGAGATACCAATCGATGCCAAACTACGGCCTGTACTGGTCAGGCCGCTTGACGAGGAGGCGCGTGGTATGACTTGGTTTTGCCTGGAAGCGACAGCGGGGTAGGTAATTCACGCTCTGATGTAAACACAAACCCTCGGAAGAGGCCCGCGCTGATCTCCTGGGCCGGCGCCGGGCGGCGCCCCGATGCCGCCCGTCGCCCGGCGGGCTCCGCGCGCGAGGCCCAGCGCCGATCCGAGAGGTCCGCGCGAGGGCTTACCCCGGATCCGAAGGAGAGAGAGAGAGAGAGAGAGACAGACAGACAGACAGACAGACAGACAGACAGACTCTCTCGAGGGCGACCCCCAGCCACGCCTCGAGGGCGCGCCCCAGCCGCGCCTGGGGGGCGAGGGCCATGACGCGGAGGAGCGCGCCACTGTCCGGGGCCGAGAGGCGGAGGGAGAAGAGGGAGGGGAAGAGCGAGGCTGCCGGGCAGAAGGCCCGCAGACAGACAGACAGACAGCCAGCCAGACAGCCAGCCAGACAGACAGACAGACAGACAGCCAGCCAGACAGACAGACAGACAGATAGACAGACAGACCACATAGTTGTCAAGAGCGCCCTGCACCTCCGGCCTAGCGCTGGGCCGTGGAAAGTACCATATCGTCGTCGGGTGTCGGCCCAGCGTCGGCGCTGTCCTCCTCGCGCTCTCGTAGCCGCGGGTGGTGCAGAGGCAAGGTGCCCGAGCGGTCTTGCCTCTTCCCTGGGAGTGCGTGGCCGTTCTGGGCCCGTGTCTGCTCGACGGGGGGTCCTGGGCGGAGGGTTCTGTGATGGGCCTATTCTCCACCACCACTACCATAGGTAGGAGAGGGAGGAGGAGAGGGAGGAGGAGGAGGAGGAGGAGGAGGAGGAGGAGGAGGATGAGGAGGAGGAGGAGGAGGACGATGGGGGAAAGAGGAGGAGAGGACGAGGAGGAGACGAGGAGGAGGAGGATGATGAGGAGGAAGGAGGAAGGGGGAGGGGAGGAGAGAGACGAGGACGAGGGAGGATGATGAGGGAAGGAGGATTACAGTGGAGGGGAAGAGGAGTGGGGAGGAGGAGGAGGGAGGAGTATGAGGCGGAGGAGGAAGGAGGAGGAGGAGGAGGACGAGGAGGAGATGATGAGAGTAGGAGGGGAATGAGGAGGAGGAGATGAGGGAGGATATGGGGAGGACGAGGAGGAGGAGGAGGAGGAGGAGGAGGAGGAGGAGGAGGAGGAGGATCTCCTCATCCTCCCTTCTCCCCCGTGCTACATATGGTAGTGGTGTTGGACAAAGTGCCCACCATCCTGGGCGGGGGGTCCCGGGGGGGTGGGGGGTCCTGGGCCGGGGTGTCCTGGGCCGGGGGGTCTGGGCGAAAGCTGTGTGCGCCGCCGCACCCTCGCGCTTGTCCGCCAGTGCGGGGTGCCACGCATCCGACGGCGCGGATTTCCCAACGAGCGGCCCCCAGGGATCCCGCGCCCCCTTCTCTGGGGGCCGCTTCTTGCCCCATGAATCCATGTTTGATGGCCCCGTGGGGCCCGACACGGGGCCCT